CATTTTTAGAGAAATATGGCTTCAATTTAGTATTTAACATAAACACTATTTTTGCATTATTTAGTGTTTTTAATATTTATGTCTCAGGAGGAAGATTGGGCAGTCTACTTCCGTAGTGATACCACCTCGGAAACCCAAGAAGGGGTCGCTACAAGTCGGATCCAACTCAATGGCAATGAATTATTCTAATGTCTGTTAAGTGATAGTACTTAAACTGTCATACAAAAACCTCACTGCTGTCGAGTTGATTTGACTCATAGCGACCCCTCCTTGAGTTTCCGAGGCAGGATCTCTACAGAAGTAGATGGCCCAGTCTTCCTTCAGAGGAGGGGCTGGTGGGTTTGATCTGCCAGCCCTCTGGTTTGCAGTCAAATGCCTTAGGCACTATGCCACCAGAGCTCCCTAGGACATGATAACTTCAAAAATAAGATAGTATGCTCATATCTCTTAGACACCAGCTATTAACTCTGAAAATTATTGAGCAGACTTGTTATTAAATTTTAACACTTAAGTCAGGTTATAGAGAATTGAATGTACTCAAATCTAGTTTTACTTTTTTCCTTACATTTAAAAAATCTTGACATTTGCTTTATTCTCAGTTAGTAAGGCCAAAGACTTTTTGGTACAGTGTCTGATCTGTGTGGCATTCAACCACGTGAATCAGAGTTTAAAGGTTTACATAGCCTTAATATATGATATAAAACATCAGTCTACTCTATCTTGTGAAAATTCCATCGGAAACTTTTTGAGAACCCATAGGCAAGTCATTTCAAAGTGGCCTGTAGGTCTACAGTAAGTGTTTCTGGTTTTTCAGTCTCTTGACCAGTTTTGGAGTTTTTTCAGCTAAATATAGACATAATTGTGACAAAGTGAACAGATTTTATGTGACAAGATTGTTAAAACCTGCTAAAACTTAACGATGATAAGGAAAACAAAAATTCTTAAGATCTGGGTAGAGTAATTTCGGTTGCATATGTCAATAGAAATCATCTTTAATTCAGCATATCCTCCCCCTCACGTATTCTCTTTCTTCTTTTCCCCACCCCCACTCCACTCCAATACAGAACTGCTGCTGTTGGGCTTTGGAGGGGGAGGAGGGAGCCATAGGTGAAGGCAGCTGGATCATGGACTTGTCCTTTGTGACTTTATATTTTCATTCTTTTGCTGCTGAGGAAAGATGAAGCAGGCACATTTCAAAAGAACAGCTGACACTAACCATACATACGTCAGTCCCTGTGTTTCTTTGGTGTTTGTGGTCTTCTTTTACACGTATGTGGCAGAGGTCCAGCTTGTAGAAGTAGAGAGGGAGAGGGCAAGATGGTGGGTGAATATAGATTGGGAATTTTCCAAGTGTACATACCACAGCAACTCCTCATCCTCTTCTTCCTATGCTGGTGAGGCAGTGAATCCTTATTTGATGAAGTAGGATAACTTTTTTGGTTTTCAGATTTTTTTTTTTAAATTGTGATTTGGGTGAAAGTTTACATAGCAAATTCATTTCCCATACACCGGTTCATACACATTTTGTTTCATGATATTTATTGCAATCCCCATAATGCAACAGCTTTCTTCCTACTTCCTCTCTGTGGTTACCTTTTCCCTGTGTCCTTCTTTCCTATACATCCCTGTGCTCTTAGCTAATCTCCCTGTGCAAATACTACCCTTCTGATCTCCCATGGTTGATCATTCTAAGGAATGTACCTACCTGATGTAAATGTTCACCTTATATACCTGTCTATTATTTGGCTGGAAGTCATAAAAATGAGTTCAGTTTCAGGCCTGAATTAGGTGACTAGGGTCGATAGTCTCAGGGTATCACCATTCTCTATCAGAACATTAAGTCTGATCTTTTTTAAGATTTTGAGTTTAGTTCCACATTTTTCTCCCATTCTATCTGGGATCTCCTATTTTGATCCCTTTCTGAGTGGTTGACAGTGGTAGTTGGGCACCAGCTAGTTCTTCTGGTCGCAGGGTCATATAGGTTGAGGTTCTCCTTTACTTGATTAAACCAAACCAAACTCACTGCCGTGGAGTCAATTAGACTCATAGTTAACCCTTGTTGGGTTTCTGAAGCAGTATCTCTATGGAAGTAGATTGCCCAGTCTTCCTTCCAAGGAGTGGCTGGTGGGTTTGAACTGCCAGCCTTCTGGTTAGCAGTCAAATGCCTTAAGCACTACATTACCAGAGTGCCTTTATTTAATTAAGGTAGGATAACTTTTAACTCACACAACTGGGTTACATTGTGAGTAGTAAGAATTTTATTGTGTTTAAACTTGACAATGCTGTTATTTTGTGCAGACCTGTTTACTAGCTTGTCTGGGGAGTGACTGTATTTTGTGATTGTGGGGCAAGGAAATACCTAGAGAGATCTTTTGTTGGATATACTTTATTTTTGCCTATAAAGTATTTTTTTAAACCTTTTGTGACCCATGGGACATATAGTGCCCACCTATGATTTCTACCTCTGGGGTTTGGAGGGAAACTGTTATCCCAGTTTTAGTGCATGCTGCCATCTGGTGAGGCCCTGTATATAATTGTGTGAATCTGAAGAAATGGGACTCATACCATCAACTTCAGCACTAGAGTCCCCTTAAGACATATGTCCCATTAATTGTACCAAAATATAGTACCCACCTACAATTTCTGCCTCTGGAATTTAGTGGGAGACTGCTATCTCAGTTTTAGTGTATGCTGCCTTCTGGTGAGTCCCTGTGTATAATTGTGTGATTCTGAAGAAATAGTACTCATCCCACCAACCCCAATGCATGTGTCCCACTAATTGTACCAAAATCCATATTACCTCAAAAATACATATTTTTTCATTTTGTTTAAAATGCTTACCATTACGGACAACACATGGTATCAGCAAAAAATTTAAAGAAGAAACTAACTTGGTCTTAAAAGGGTTAAAGCTTGTCTATCATTTGTTTGACCAACAAATATTTTCTTTTTACATGTAAACAAACTTAAGTTGGAAAAAAGGTATTACCAGCTCTGTAGGATGTAGAGCTAGTAACATGTTTTTCTTGGTTTAGGTTTGTTTATATACATGTGTGTAGTGGAACCTGTGACAGCTAGAACTCGCTGGGACTGCCTTGTTTTTCTGGGTCTTGCTAGTCTTGACAAGGTCCAGTCTTACCACTTTTCTATCACTCATTTCAGTGGAAAATATTTGAATTTTCTTTTTCTGACAGATTTCTGCCTTACACAGATTCTGGCTTTTGCAGGTTTTATTGGTTACGTACATATATGCACACATACACACACACCCCTCACTCTTTCTTCTAGTTACTATCTCTCCTTTATTTCTGCTCTCTACTTTCTGTGCTTCAAGGCTCAGAATTGCACTCATTGTTAGGAAACATTTTCCTCCATCAACTAGTCTTTTGAAATACAGCATCTTTAAGGTTTTGTTTCATTTTTGTTTGGTTGGTTGGTTTTGGTGTCAATAGAAGAAGGTTTTAAGTTAATCAAGGACTAAGATCAGATTTTCACATTCTTCACAATATATCAGCTCTGTTCTTAGATAATACAATATACACTAAAGAGCAACTCAAGCCTAGCTGTTCTGAACCCTGAGCACTTCCATCAAAGTCATTTGGACTATTTGACCATTTCAGGTGTCCTGCCTGAGGGAGTATAATTCACACAAGGTGGGCTGTATGTGCCAGCAAAGACCTTTCCATTTTGGATGTTTTTGTGGGGAATGTAGAAATGGCTTGGAACCTCTGGTCATTTCTACGTGGGATCACTGCTGTTTGAAGATTGGACTTTCATGTGGTCTCAGTTATTTCAATTGGTGTTTTAGTTTTGTTTTGTTTTTATTGTGACTTAGGTGAAAGTTTACAGAGAAAATTCATTTTCCATACACATTTTGTTTCATGACATAGTCATTCAGTGTTTTTTAAAGTGCAGGATGATCTCCAGTAACATTTTGTTTCTGATAAATGTTTTGTGAAAATGTCTGTAAGTTTCCGTTTGTAGTCAAACACATTCAGCTCACTGAGAGACAAATACTAATTAGCAGGATTTTTTTCTTGTTTTTTTTTATGTTCCCAGCACCAAATTTAAAGAAGGAAGTATCCGAATTTAACCAGTGCACTTGCCTCTTCCATTTGTTAGTTCTTGCAAATGTCAGATGCTGCAATAACATTTTTGGTTTGGGTTTAATTAAATCAGTAAATCTTCTTTGTGTTCAAATATGCATAGCATTTCTCAAATGCTGTGAACAGAATTTCATGACGAAATGTGTGTAATACTGAAGCCTGACTTTGTGTGCCGTTGTATGTAAAATGAGCAATTGTGGTTTTAGTTTACTGTCTTCCAGCCTGGTCCCGTGCAGGCCAGGTAGAGGAAGCTAACCTCTGGTAACACTATTAACAGGCATGCTAATTTCCTGGCATGGGACCAAAATTGGAGAAAAGTCATACTACTTGTATTTAGTGTTTGTTCCTTTGGCTAGCATTGTGCAGCTCAATTTACTGCAAATAAGCAGCTTTAAAAATATATGCTTTCTTTCAGTGGCTCTAAGACTGTTAACTAGTGAACAACAAACAATAATGTGTCAAGTTTTTTAATCTACTGTCTTTTGCTAGTTTTAAACGTTTTATGTCACACAGCCACACGTTTGTTGCTACTGACCCCACTCTTTTCTCCATCTGATTATTCCACTTAACTTGTACTTGGTTTTAAAGGGCTGTCAGCAGTGACTTTCTTTTTATTTTAACTTAGGAGTCATGTAGGGGTGCTCCAGAAAAGGGGGAGAAATGGAAAATTGTGAAATTCCTAATTCTGTGAAAATTAAGGACCTTGTAACTACACATCATTTTGTTTATCAATTATATCTGATTTGTTAGTATCTACAGTAGCATTGCCAATGATTATTAATATTTTGCTTATTTTTATCCATACTCTCTAAAAGTATGATATACACTGTATTTGCTAATGTTATATGAGTTTCCCTCTAATTTTTTGTGCATTTTCCCCCCTTTTCCATGAAGGCCTTATCTGTTTGGAGCGGGGTGTTTTTCCATAAAAGCTCCATGGTGAGTCGCAGTTCAGTCCCGCATGCCTAATTCATTTGCTGTGCTCTCAACTCGTAACTCTGTTTGGTAATTTTGTTTTCAATTGCATGGCCTGATCACAAATAGATGCACTGAATTACTAAACATTTGTAGGTGGGACATGGATGTTGATATTTAAGCTTAAAAATAAAAAAAAACGTTTTTCTTGGTTTTACTTCATTCCTTGAAAAGTTTAGAAACAACACACACACACACACACACATCAATTTTTCTCTTCCTTTTTCTTTCTTTTTTTTTTTTTTTAAAGAAAACCCTAGAATCTCCTTATAATGCAGATGTATATGACCAGACAAGGTCATATACCCAAGTTTAACTTAGTACCCAAGTTTAAAGGAATGAGTATTACAGTGATAGAAGCTCTATACATAACATGCTGAACACTTGAGGACATGATTTATTTTTAAATGCAACCAAGTTTACGGTATACCAAAAATACTCTATTAGTAAGTCTTACTGCTTTTTATTTGGCCCCAAAGGGAAAACAGTTGTATTTCGAATAGCTTAGGTATTTAATAAGCTACATGATAAGGAAATTTATATTTCACATAAAAATTCTTACATAATTTGTTATTTTGAATTTTTAGCACCTATTCATTATAACTTTATTTAGTAAATTCTTTTATAACAATGCATAGACTATACTTGTGTTAAACATTATTATAGTAAAGAAACAGTGTATATTTCATACTTTTATGTTAAGATGTGATGTTCAGAGCCTGGTTTAATATGTTTGGCATAATGAAGAAGAGTCTGTGTGCTGCAGTCAGACTGCCTGGGTTTCAAATCCTAACTCACACACTTATTAGCTATATGATCTTTGGCAATTTTCTAAAAATCTTTTTGCTGTGGTGACACCGACCTGTAGTAGTGACACCAACCTCATGAGTTAATTGTGATAATTAAATGCATGTATATGTAGGTGCATCTAAATTGCTTAGAACAGTGTCAGGCACCTAGTGTTCAACAAATGCTGAATACTATTGTTATTACTTTTTCCATTTACAGGAAAAATTATACCTTTTCTTTTATTTTTAAAGCCTCTTTAATTTAGATCATAGTTTTTACTTAAAAGAATATGTGCCAGAAGAAAGCTTTGGGCAATGTAAGGTATATCAGTTGTACAAATTTTGTCAGAATGCTTAAAAGATCTCTGTACTTATGTGCAGCTTTCATAACTGCTGCTAAGAATTGTTTACATTGTCCTACTCCACTAGGAAAAAGAAACTGCCAATTTTTTCTCTCTTGGACAAAAAGAAGCTGAAAGAGTTCTTTAAGGTAGATTATAAAGTAGACAGACTAATTTAAGCGTTTCTATGCTGCAGGAACATCTAAAAATTTCATTCTCATATAAGACTGGAGTATCAAAAACACATCAACATAGAAATCTCCTTGAAAATGCAGCATCATAGCTAGGACACATATTCTAGAACTATTTAAAAGCAAATTTAGGGTATAAATGAGTATAAATTCCATGAAAGACAATTTAATCTTTATATTTTTTGTTTACCAGATAAAACACATAAGATACATGTATTGTACTTATGAGCTTACAGTGAGGGGTTGATTTTTAAATGACACATTCAATGTATGACAAAATTTCTTTGTAGACTAAATGTAAGATAAATTAGATAAAATTAGGGTACATTCCTTAAGCTGAGTACAAAGAAGAGAGTATTAGTATGTTTAAAGATTGAAGTTTTAGCATAGAAATAAAGATGGAGTAACAAACGTTGTATGTTAAATGAGAAAAGTCCATTCCTTCAACAGCTTATGTGCTCCTTAAATTTAAGCAAAAGCACTTGTCAACTAGAAATGATTTGAGGTTGAAACAAGATTAAAAGAACCAGATTAAAGAAAGGGATATATGAAATATAGTAAACTTTTAAATCATTGCCTGTCTTTTAGAAGACTGCTTTGTGGTTTGTTTGATGCCATCGTTAGCTCCCAAGAAACTCATTTTTAGTCACTTATACTAGACTAAAAAGTCCTCCTTTAAAATACATGACTTCACTAGTGGTACATGTTTTTTCCATTAAGATCTCAATGAAACCTCAAATTAAGGCAGCAAAATGAATATAAATTTGACAACTTCTTCCATGTTGTTTATAAGAGCTTCTTTGTTTTAATAGTTTTTGCTATTTTTCCATGATATTTACTGTTCTGAAATGAGAATGGAGTTTTTACAACTCCTCTTTAAATGTACTTTTCATACAAATATTTTTGTTAGAACTGAGTTTGCAATGTTCATAATTAGCTAACATTTTACGTTTGGTAGATGGCAATTTCTACTAATTCTTCATTCTTCATTTAACTGGTTTTTAGTTATTTAAATTCATGCAGGTTTAGGTGAGTCACTTTTGAAATAGTGTAGGAAAAACTTTTTGGAAAGTTAACTACATAGGACATCATCGCCATTTTCATCATTTTAGACATTCAGGTATAATATAGCCTTTATGATAGTTTAACTAGAATATTTAAGTTTGAATGACTATGTCAAAAAAAATTAAATAATTATACATGCAACATATTTTTTCAAATACAGAGATTTGAAAATTTATAGATTATCATTTCAGTACAAATTATTTTAGCTCAATTTTGGTTAATCAGGTATTTATTGAGCACCTAATGTGCATATGGCATTGTGTTTAAGCTACTGTGATTTGTGAATTGGGCATCATAAGAAAAAAAATATGTATATAGCAGTGTGAGCAAAGACAATCCATCCCAATATATCCCTTACCATAAAGTATCTTTCGGTTAGAGGTAAATTTTAAATAAAAATTAAAATTTACATAGAAAATTGTATTCGAAGTTTTAATTAGCATTCTCTAGAAGTGTTTGATCTATCTATGAATGCATTCAAACTAATCTTGTTCTCTTGAAAATATTTAAAAATTGTATAATTTCATTTATTTGGAAGGTAATATTTATATGTCGAGGTGAATCTTATCTGCCAAACTTACGTAAATCTCTTAGTCCTTTAAGAATAATTTGTGCAAATCTTTGTATGTAGTTTATTAATATCTTGAATACATAAAATATAATGCCTTCACTTTATCTATTAGGTCTCATTTTAGCAGAATAAAATTTAGAATGAGAGAAAACTTCTAAATTCTTTTTAAAAGCTTAAACACAGTGAGAAATGCAAAGGAAGAACGTTTTTCTTCAGCAGGAAGATATAATAACACTTGTACTTCTTACATCAATTTTCAACTATTCTCTTATGTTCTAGAGAAGAAAAGAGATGGTGTTTTTATGTCATGTGACCTCTTTCCATGTTTGTGTCCTAAACACGGCACATGACCTCAGTGCTGCTCTTCATGTCATCTACAGATGCACCTTGTACATCCTACTCTGTGGGACATAGTAAAATGATCTACATGGAGATCCTTTTGCTATTATTTTTAAACAGATCTTATTTTGCATTTTTCTTTCTGTTTGCAGTTGAATACAGATTACTTAATACAGTAAAAATCATTAGGGTAAAAAATGGAAAACTTCAACTGCCTTATGAAATATTTTTAAAGACCTAGCAATATTAATTAATATCCCTATCACTTCTGATATTAGTAAAAATTATTTCACTAATTGTTTGATTAGATAGTTACACCTAGTTCATAGGAAATTAAAAAAGACAAACTCCTGACTTCTAATTTAGCACCTTTGCTTTTTGTGTATTGTTTCTTTTGATTAAATTTTCCTCTGGTATCAGGTGTAGTTAATTTTATGGTCATTATTTTGCATGAGATTTTGAAAGTTCTGATTCATTCTTTAGTTTAATTACATTTTGTTCAAAAGTGAAGAGGATTTTTGAACATGGGGCTATATATTATGTGCTAACAGGTTAAGAGGGAGTCAAGAGGAGGCGTTTTCCACACCATCAGTATCTTTTATCCTCATGTATAACCATTTTCAAAAATATACCCTATAATCCATTTAAATTCTGGACCCCCATATAAATTGCAGTATTATATATATTTTATTGTATTGTATTATTAATTTATATAGTATGATTATTACAAATAAATAAGTGAGGGAAGGCCTCTGCATATACAGAGGAGTTCTTTTTCTACTTGCCAGTGTTCTGTAATGGGTTATTAAGGCTCCTTCAGAGAGCAAAAAGGATAGGTTGAAAGCAGGGAAGAAAAAAGTTTGTTATTGGAATGCTTTCCTAAAAGGATTGGTGGGAATTGCATGAATTTTTTTCACAATAAGAAAACATGATTTACAAGACTACCAATTTTTCTTTCTTCTCCACATAAGTATCAATTTTCAAGGCTTTATCTTTCTTCCAATAAAAGGTTATTTTGAAATAGAAATATTCTGGGGCATTGTGGAAAAGGTTATACATGGTAGTGCCCCTGACACACATTCTTTGAAAAGCCCTCTGCTTTCCCTGCATTCCTGGACTTGGTCTTTTCCAAACTTAGAACAAAGGGCAAATTGACCAAAGTTAACATTTCTTCTTTTGGGTGTGTCTGGTAGAAAATACTGTATTAATGGCATTCTTTTCTTCAAACTCTTTCTCCTTTTTATTCTTCTAAATATGTTTAATGTTTCTATTTTGCATAAATACTATAGACATCCCAAATGTATATTTGATGACAGAAATAACTTGAGATTAAGGTGTTCACCAAATACACTCTATACTCAATAAACATGTCATGTAGCAAGTAGCAGGTTAGTTGCAGGAATGAAAAGTCTTTTGATGACTCGATTATTTAATTTACCATAGAATACTTACTCTCTACAAGATCTCTATGAGTTGATGGCAGCTAACAACAGCAAGAGATAATGAGCATATGTAAAATGATACTGTGTTGATAGAGTTTAGTTCTGTGTTCACAAACAGAGTTAAGTCTAACACTATAAAAGTGTAAGAGATTTTAGCATTTGACATTGGCTGATGTGACTGTAAGCTAGTTAACAGATGGAATATGTTTTTGTGTCTGAAGATGAAA